TCATGCTTATATACATACATAATTGAATGTATTTTTATGTTTAATACGTTTTATATGTAATCCGAATGAATCTCAGAACTAAGACATTCCACTCAATATATTTAATTTTAACTTTTAGTGATGGGCGGCGGCCATCCATCATCCATTGCTCCTCGTGATGGCTTGCAGCGTTAGAGCGAAACGTGTCTAAAAAACGATATTACAATGTTGCCTATGTACTTCTGTTTCCCACATCCTAGCCATGTGTACCAGCTCTCTTTGTACTAAATGTATTTAATATAAAAATCGTCACGAATTTGTATCGCCTAAGTCTCCCTCCCATTAACACTTTATTGTTAGTCACGTAAGTTTTGTTTGCGGCTATCTAAATACTAATGATGATCGAATTGAACGAACAGTGATTGATGGAAGAAATCAAAGCTTCTTACTACGAGTTGAGTAATATGAAATTTGTATTTTTTCCGCAAGGCCTCTCAATTATCATCTAACTACTTAAGAAAATATTTACCAAAAAACAAGAGAAAGAGAAGAGAATACCAAAACGAAAAATACTCAACACAAGGACAAACTATACAAAATATATATTTATTTAGGTACTACGTATTCCAAATGATATGCCACCAAATTGTATGCTATTTTTAAGTATTTTTTATACGAATATATGTGTATATGCATTATTTTATTTATGAACAAAGATAATTTGTACCATTAATTGAATAAATTAAAAAACACAATCAAGAAAACAAAAATAATTGTCTATTGCAATTTAATTTCCCATTTACTCGTTGTGTTCATCGTTTCGACATCACATGTCACATATCACTTAATTTTATTTTCGTTTTTTTTTTTTTACCTCTTATTATTTTGTGTTTTTACTCCTGTTAAGATTGTACTGTTTTCACTAACCTATTCTTATCACTAAATTTCTTTTAGATATCTCTACAACTTCTACTATGTACCACTACTTGTACTCTACAAAAATCCAAACCACAAAACTACTAAGACTACTCTACTAGTGCTGCCCAAAGTCTGCTCTACATACGAGTAGGTCTCTCAAACACGTGGGGGCTATGGAGCCCAGAACAGTACACCACCAAGACTCTCAACCTTTCTCTCTCTTCTGCTCAATCTTGTACGCGCCTTCTTATGGGTTCTCGACTACTACTTTATATAGCACTTCCCACACATACATCTTTATATATGTTTTTTATTCAATATGTAAAGCATGTTTAGTTACAACTTTATATATATGTGTCTACACAAGCGGGATCGCCTCTTTGTATGCAACAAAGGTGTTCTATCATACTATATTCTTGGGTTTCCCACTCTTTGTATGTGCGTGCTTTTGTCTTGTCCACTGCTGCGCTTTTGATAACTATATTAAATATGTACAATTACCACCTATCTTATGATTATTGTATTTGTGCGCCTTATTCATGTGTCTTTTTCAACAACAAAAAAAAAAAAACAAAAAACGAAAAAACAAAAAAAAAATTAATAAATATATTTAACCTCTCGATGTTTTCTTACACAGCCTTTTAGCTTATAAGTCTACTATTCTTAATGTGCGTGTCTTTTTTGAAACGGATCTGGGTTTTACGGGCTTACTTATCTAGTTATAAGTGCTGATATTTTATAAAAATGTTTATAGCTATTTTTTTTTTTTTTTTTTGTTACCCGTCAAAGTGTTTGAGCTTTTATATTTTTGAATGCATTTTGTTTTGTAAGTTTATGTTTTAGTGGTTTTCTTTTCATTCTACCTTACAGTAGGTCTTGTATGTTTCGCTATTTTGTTTTAATTATAAGAGTTCTCATTTATGTTACAAATACATATTTCATTTCAACAATTCACGCTTAAAATTCAATAAACTTCACTTGCTCAATATTGAACCTAAAATAGAGAATTACTTTGAATCATCAATCAATATCCTTTATTCATATCAGACTGTGCCATCATATCTTGCATAATATATTAATTAACGCTTAAGTCTATTCACAAACTTTCATTGTATTTACCCAAAATATCAACAATTGCACACTTGTCATCACTCGTCACCCACTCGTTGCCCACCTGTGCGTGTGTATGTGTGTGCTTTTCTCTTCTCTTTCCACGCACCATTTGGTTCTTTTGCAGATTTTGTACTAACCTGGTATCAGCATGCATGCGATCAATGCGGCAAATCCTATAAGACACGCAAAAGCTTGAGTCGCCACCGTCGCTTCGAGTGTCGATTCACCACCGAGCGCCCAATATTTCAGTGTCCCACATGCAGCTATGCGGCCAAGCGTAGCGATAATCTAACCAAGCACATTAAAACGCATTTTGCCAAAATGAAAAAGGACTTCCTGCCACTAGCATTTCAAATGCAGGCCGCCTCCATACAAACCAAATGGGAGACGGCATAACTCGGTGGGGGCGGCGGCAACCAAAAACAGTCCAGTACAACATAGGCCAAAGATAATCTATTTGTTGTTCCCAGTTTTGCCCTAAGTTTCCCAACTCAAATTAATTTATATATATCCACGATATGTGGTCGCACGCACACAGGCAAATCATTTTATCTCGTAAAATACAAAAGAAATAATGAATATTTTTGGAGAGGTTATAAAATCCATTGCTTAAAAAACAAAGAAGAGCAGAAGATCCTTCCTAACAAAATGTTGGGTAAAAATGATTTGTCTGCGTGAACTTACCTTTAGTCTTCATACGTACGTTAATTTTATTTAAAATCAGGCAGATGCAATGCCGTGCTGTTTGTTCAGTCGACAAAATATATAAAAATAATCAATTAAACTGAACTCGATCAAAAACTATAGTAGCAGACGACCACTGCAAACCTAGGGGGCTTTGTGGTCGTTTTTTTTTTGTTTGTTGTTTTTTTTTTTTTTGTGCGCTCCACACACTTGCTCGATTTCCCGCATATATTTCATTGCTTTCACTTTATACATATAAGCAGCACAATTTGCATAAATTTTCGTAATATATGATAATTTCATACAATTCCTACCATTTGTATAAATTTCGTATGGTTTTTTCTTCTTTTCTTCGAGCGGGAAAAAGCATTGTTCCTGTAGCCGTCGCTACTTTATGCAGTTCAGGTTCAACATTCTATATACGATGTGCCATATGAGCGCGCGCTCTCCGCAGTCATTTCAAAGTCAAATCACATTTACATAGCTCGTTTTTTTTCTTCTGTTTTCTGGCATTTAGTTTCGTACTTATAGTTTGAACCACTCAACAGCAGGCAAACGACGACATTTGCATACAAAAATATAAATATTTTAGAAAACAGATGTATTTTTCGACAGGCATTGCATCTATGTTAGCTATAAGTTTGCAAAATTAATTTAAAAAGCTCTTCAATGCGCATAATTTATTCATCGAAACTCATCAATTGATTTGAATGAAGCTTGTTTGCTTTTACGAATTGGCTATAATTACACACATTTAAAAAAATTAAGTTTTAAATTAACCACAACTTAGACGTTTAAGCCAAAAAGTCCAAAAACTAAGTCAAAAGCATATAAAGCAACCGCTGAGAGGCAATTATCTAGAACTACTAAGAGTAGATGGGAGGGGATTTGAAAATTTACATTCCTAAAAAAGAAAGATAGAAAGAAAGGAAGAAGAAACAAAGAAAAAACAGATCTAATGTATTTAAATGCTATTCTAGTCATGTAAGGGCAATTTTGATGTGTTAGCCAGCTGTCAACAGTTGGGAGAGAAACTAAGAAGAAAGAAGCCTAGGGCTTTTGGGTGCAGCCAAAAGACATAAGAAGTTTAGTAATATTAAGTTCCTTGCCAGTTATGAGATGCAGCAGGCCAATTTACTCGTACGTAGTAGGTTAACATTTAGCAGCAAAAGCAACAAATGATCTCTATACAACAACAACAACAACATACAAATTAAATGCAACCACAGTACAATTTGCACAAAACAAATACTATACTATACATACACAAATAGTTCAAATGTTTACTAAAAACTGCAGCCAAATAAAATACTATATGTAAAGTCAATTGCATAGCTAACCGACAGTTATGGGAGAGCTATACCCTATATTTAAAGTCTAATTGAGGTTATTATAACGATACTGAAAAAACGGAGAGGAAAGAACTAGAGGGAACTAGGAGCTAGTCCAGTAAGCGGCCATCTATTTACATATATACACCTATAAGTATTTATATATTTTATAAACTTTCCATATTTAAACTATTTTTGTACCGTAAAGAGCATAACTAAGTATTTTTTATAAATATTTATACTATACGTACATACTACCATACCATATATATATGAGCTATTTTTGTATGTATTTGAATAAAAACTAACACAAGCAAAACGCATTTCTGATTTACTATTTGTTACCCCATTTGGAGCTCGTGAAAATCGTGTATGTCCTGCTTTCCTTCTTACTAAACATGTTTCATTGCAGCCGATTTACAAGAGTCGAGTCATCATCAAATATCCGAATCAAGCATCAGCTTTATCTTCCACCACCTCTAGTAGTTTTTAAGACCGTCAGCCTATTATCTGCATTTGCATCTGCCAAAAAATCGCCATAAACAGCTCGCGCTCGCTCTCGCCCCCACGCTAAATCACGCCTCACGCCACGCCAAACACAATCGCAACATCAACACTCAAGCAACTCAACTTTTCATCAAACATCATCAATCAAAAAATCTATTACACCCTGTAAAATGCTCGCAAACCGATGCTAGACGTCTCTCAATATCACAAGAACATACACACACTAACTGTAAATATCACATTTTGTTATTTTTACTACTTGCTCTCATATTAAAAGATAAATATAATTTAACATTAAATGTATCACTACACTTTTTTTTTGTTTTTGTTTTTTCGGAATAGAACTAGAATCTGAATTCTGGTTGTTTAAATTACTTATTTCTATACTCGTATAAACGTATCTGGAAATGTACCTAATCCGAGAACATGTCTTCTCTTTGCGAATTTGTTTTGCATCACTCTTTACAGCACCCGGAAGTTATGCATCCAACTCAAGTCAAACACCGCCACCGGCCTCGACGCACTCGTTGATACGTGATTATTGGTATGAGCTTAAATTTTCGGACTTATTTAAATTTATAAATCCGGATGGACGTTATCAGTGCCCCAGATTTAACTGCTTGAAGAGCTATAAGGACGCCAGTTCATTGCAACGACATATCAGGTAAAATTACACTGAAAATAATTTTAACAATTCAGTTTGTTTCCATCTCCATAACTCCGATTGTTTGGCGAACAGCATTTAATGTTATTCTGTCTATGTTTGTTCTCTCTCAGATATGAATGTGGAGGACAGAAAAAATTTCGCTGTCTGATGTGCGGCAAAGCATTTTCACAAAGCTCCCACCTAAAGCGGCACCTTGAATCCGGTGTCTGTGTCAAATATTACTTATGAGATAATGTTTTCTTCAAAATCAAATAGAATAAATGTTATCCCAATAGGAAGAGTGCAAAATTTTGTTGACTAAACAAACAAAGAAACAAACAAACAAACAACAATGAACAAAACAATAAGTATATAACAGGCAAATTATATCAAGGTACAGAATCAAGAACAAATGAACAAGAATGTAGCAAAAACAAGAACAATTACAAATAACAACAAAACGAATTTATTGGATGCCACATCATTTATATAAAAAATCAACTAAACAAAACCCATAACAAATGGAAAACAAAAAGAATTCTTGTTGATACTGCATAGTTAAAAACGTAGCTAATAAAAATATTTAACAGACAAAAATATATATATATACATATACGATATATATATATATTTAAAAGCAAAGTGGACATTTTATAGAATTTTAGTAAAAATATATTGAAAAAAGATATATTGAAAAAAAAAAGAAATGAAAATAAAATTAATAATAAAGTATAGAAGGAGCGAGATACAAAACCCATACACGAAATGAAGCTAAGAGCAAAACATTTTAGTCAAACTAACCAAAACTATATAATTTTAGTCAAAATGCTTACAAGCAACTTAGTGAAATTACAAAATGAAGTGTTTATAAATAATATATACACATAGAGAAAAAGGAACACACTCACACATATGAAAATGGGAGGAATGCATAAACATAATAGGAAGAGAATATATATAGTATATATATATAACAACCGTACTGTGTTTATTTGTTGCCAAATATATATATATATACATATATATCTATATATTTATAATATAATTAATATTTGTTATCCAAAACAATGCAAAGAAACTGTTGTAAAGCTGTTGAAAGCAAACAAAGTTAATAATAACACCAGGAATGGAAGGAAGGAAGGAAGGAAGGAAGTTGGCAAAACTTATGTTAAAGCAGTGTTGACACATTTCATACATAGAAGCTAAAAGCCTTGCGATAACTACAACTATTTAGTACGGCAGAAAACGATACGTTTTATTATACGATATATGTTGCGAGTTATTTCCCCATATACATATGTATTGTATATGTAAATGTGAATGTTTGTTATAAAACAAAGTAAAAAGTGCATAAATGCAAGTTGTTAGACACACAGAATGAAGATTTACGAGTATGTGTATAGTAGTTGGAGGCTCAGAGTTAGAGTTGAGAGCAAACGATTTATGAATAGTTAGTGCAAAGGCCACATGATTTGTTGGTTCAAAGAACAAAAGTTTATATACAACATATACATATAAAATACACATCTATATTAACGTCTATATATATAGTATACATATAATGCTATGTTAGCAACTGTTGTCTGTTACTGATGAGATGCAATAGCCATACGAAGGTTGGGTTAGAGAGTTATGTCTAAGAAGATGTAGGGCGATGAGGCAGCATTTTTGAGACACATTTTGAAGTAGCCGATTATTATTGGCGCCTGTTTCTTTGCATGTTGTGGTCTGATGGTTTGTGCGCGGTATTTGGGTTTGTTTGAGTGCCAATTCGTTCATGTACAAACATGTACAGCTTAATTTCAATTCAAAATCTTCATTTAATTACCAAATAATAACAACAATGTGCCATTAATAATTTAAATTTAAAACATGCCACCCAGTAGCCGCTTTCGAAACCAAACGAATGAAATTCAATGCTGCAACCAAAAATCAGAAAAAATAATGCAACATATACTCGTCAGTATACAAATCGATAAACAATTTTATTTTTATTTTTGTTCTTTTAACAATATACGTTTAGATATGTTTTAGTTGGCAAAGCTCTGCTAGCTGCGAAATTGAATAGTTATTATTTATCAAATTTTTCAAATGTTTAGATGAGTGCCATTATTTGTTAAATAAATTCAATTTACAGTTGGAAATAATGGGAATTTCAATCAACTGGTAATAGTCAACAGGGTGATGAGGAAACAATAAAAATCGTTTTAATTTTCAAGCAATTAGTTGATTTTGTTTTCAATGTTCAATATTTACAAAACAAACAAAAAAAATCTGATTACAAATCCTTCGTATTTGCTTAAACACACCAAAAAGCAAACATAAAACGGTAGAATGCATAATAATCAGCATATTAATACATTAACAAAGGGCAATAGCATTAACAGTTGAACTCGAATCCACTAGACAAATTATACATACATAGAGAAAAGTAATAATAAAACTGTTGTTATCAACGTAAAGTTCTTCAAACTACATACATCCTGAACCATTTTCAATAGGAAGCGAGCGAGGGAGGGAGGGAGATTAGAGAGCAAATTTTAAGTTTATTGACAATTTGTTTTAACATAGTTTTTTGTTCGTTTAGATGTGCTAATTGAATGAAGTGCGCAATTTGTCTTGTCCGACTTGTATTTATGTCAATTTTGATCAATAGTCATAGGTACCTCCATACATATAGAATGTTGATTTAGCAATCAAAACACAAGACAAATTGAAAGTGCACTTTCCAATGTTCATGGCTAATGAAATTAGTTGAAAATTTATGCGTTTTTACCTGTTAATCTATGATTTATTTACCCAACTTGTTGCAAGTCAATGCGTAGCTAAATTATTCTATTTTTTACTGTTACACTTTTTTTTAGAGTAATTGGAGTCGTCTTAACATTGAATATTAGTTCTGTTGCATTGTTTTTAACATAATTGTAAGACGGTTTTACATAGATTGTTTATTATTTTTTATTAATATTTCGTTTAAGTTTTAACCTGTTATTGTTAATTAATATTTAAAAATATATATATATTAAAAATTAAAAAAAAAAAAAATGAAAATTAGTCTAATGTAACAACTAGAAGCATAAGAAGATACATAATGAACAAAATATACTCCAAAGAAACCAACCAAATATATATGTATATATATATATATATATATATTATATACAACACATATACATACATATATAAGAGGACAACACATATACATATATACAAGGACATATATGTATATATCTATATTTAAAAAAAAAACAATGATATGATGTTTTAGTAAAAGTGTATTTGGAACCGAATTGCCATATTTAGCAGCAAATTAACGACAGTGTAAATTATACATACAGTAAACACAAATGCAAAGGAAAACACATATATTACAATAATTACCAGAACGAAAAAAGAACAAGCAAATTTAAATGTAACGAACGAATGTTGTTTATTTTTCGTAGCGGAAATTGACAAAAACAAAAATGGTCTTTATATGAACATAAATATATTTATTGTTAACAAACAAACAAACAAACAAAGAAACAAAACAAAAACCACGGAAAAGGCGAAATTATGAAACAAATTTATACAAGAAAAAAACACGGATAGAAAACAACTTAAATTGACGAAGCTGATATTGTTAGTACCTTAAAAATAATAATATTAATAATTGTTAAAATAACTAGCCTAATATTATTGAAGAGAACAAAATTATACAGATGATGTGGGAAATGTACTGCAAAATGTTTTGCATGTGTAAACCAATTAACAACACTTGAGATTATTCTATGTTAATTTTAAACCACTTGAACACTTACCAACCTATTTCAAAATTGTTATTTTTGCAACAAACGAAACACCCTGAACAGAGAGCAAACCTAAACGGCATTATGCCATTTATGTATGATGTAAACATGTTTGAATTTATAAAGTGGTAATAAAAGTAATAAAGATTGATATTGAAATGTTGAAACCCCCAAAAACAAAACCAAAAATATTGACTTTATTTTGGGACGGCTCGCAAAGTCGCAGGTTGTTGACTCCAAAAATTGTATATTATCAATGATTCACTAACGACTTAAACTTATTTTTTGCAGGTCTGTGATCAGAATGATCAAATGTCGGACCATGTCGCTGGCGTTCATAGTGTTAAATTGGTTGAATTAATTTTAAATTCACAGAATGTTGGTAACAATATAATCTCAGCTGCATTGTTAAGTCAGGTCAATTGCTTGTGTTACATAAAAGGCACATTCAATTGCTACCGTAAGAGCATAGTAGACGGTACGACCTGCAGCTATGCCTTGGTCTTATCTTAGCAGCCACACATATTATGTTATGTATGCCTGTAACATATACAGGTATTTCTCTAAAAATCTATATTAATAATATTAATAATAATAATAAAGCAAGCATCGTGTGCTTACATGGTGTTCTATTTTTATGATTTTTATTTAGTTTTATTAAGCTATTGTTTTTTGTAGATTTAACCGCTTAAATGCTTTGTGTATAACTGGAAGTCTTTACACAATATACACATTATTACATTTTATATATCCTTTTAGCTAGCAGCTCTCTTTCATGTATGGGGCTGCCTTTGGTGCTATATCTAGCCTAGTCAACTTTTAGCATCAATATCAATCACCCATCCATTATTACTAATTTCTGTAAAATTAGAAACTAAACATTAGCAACTCTGGACATAATTTATTAACCTATTTCCTTTCTCTTTTATTCATTCTAGATAATGTGTGGACACTGTCAGTGAAATCGGTTACTTCACTAAATAATATTGCTTTATCGGAGCGTTATCACCAAAGTGACGAATCCGGAACTTCTATTGAGATAGCGGCAACCGATATTATCCTCCAAACTCCACATATTTGTCCGCGCTGTGATAAAACCTATACCTACAAAAAAAATCTGTCGCGACATTTACGTTACGAGTGCGGAAGATTGCCATCGGAGAAGTGTGAACATTGCCCCTATGTGGCACGCTATAAACACGCCCTCAACTCGCACTTGAGAAGTCAACATCCGGAACATTTCAGTGATGTGCAGCCAACGACCGCCTTAGCCGCTCGAGATATCTTCGAAGGCGATGGCAAAGTACAATAATGAACTGTGAGGGGATGTGTTGTGTTGAAAATGTGATTGATCTCAGTTTAAGCTCAGTGTAAGCTCAAAATATTTAATGTTTAAAGTTAAGTCAGGTAAGTAAGAACTAAGTACGGAACAGCATAAGGAATATTTCGGAAAAAAAAACCAAACTTTCGCCGGACTACTTATTGATAATAATAAAAAACTCCTTTTTACCAAAATTGAAATGAAATGTGTCATTATTGAATTTTCTAGACTAAGCAGTTCATTTATTTCGAATGTGGGGCACGGTTTTTGTAATTTGGCTGCGGTGTTTATTTATTTTAAGTTTTGATTATCATTTTCTGTGTGTTTGTGCAGCAACATTTAATTATTTAAGCACTAAAATCCTATGCACAAAATTGATTGCTTGTTTTTTTTCCCAAGCTATAAAATAAGTTATAACTAAAATCAAATTATAAAGAATGAGCAGAGACAACAAGTTTATGAGCTGAGCAATAAACTAGGATAAACTAGGAACGAGTAAAGACTTGGTAAACGTAAAGAAAATTGACATCCCACTTATTTTAATCACTGAATGTCATGCGCCCGTGTCACATTTGTTTGCAGCCTCCAAGCACGACAAATCAGAGCAAACCGAGGGCACTCATGATGAATTCGAACTGGACGATTGCCTGCTGGAGAGCAATGACATTGTAATCACACAAAATAAGGATGGCTTTGTGCTGCACGTTAAGAAGCTGGGAAATATTACGACAGCCAAGATAGGCGGCGCCAGTGCCGGAGTCGATGAGGAACAGGCAGCAGCAGTCACTGTTACTGGACCGGCTGGACAGCCAACATCCACAATTACGGAACTCTTGACAGCCGCATCACACACCGATGTAAAACCTACGTTGACCACATTAACCAATACCCCCATCAAATTGCCATCAACGGAGTGTGGTAAGTCAGTCTTTATGTTTGATGGATTGTTGATATTCAATAAATGGCATTCAATATTAGTTTCAAAGAAGTTTTCATCAATTGATCATTGATCCAAAATACGCCCTTTTTTCGAAAGAAAAAGCTGTGATAATTTATTTTATTATTTTCCCAAAGAAAAAGTTATAATTTATTTCGATTTAAAAATAATTTACCTTCCTTTGGTCTTTTACTTTATTGTGCAACGCGATTGAACTAATTTTAATTACGAATAAAGAGTCTTTTTTGTTTGTACATATATTGGAACAGATGGATCGATATCAATATCATAATAGCCTAATAGCCTAATAAACTCGAAAAATTGTATCTAATTTGTGAAATTTTTGGCGTTTACAGAACTAATCAATATCAAGAAAATCGTACCAGCATCAACAACTATCGCAGCGCATCCACATGCCACAACTACCACCATAATACATCCACACCATATCATACATCATGTGCCGCAGGAGTCTAACCAGCAGCAGCAACACCAAATCGAAGAGGTGCCACAAACCTCTTCCCAACAACAGCACCACCATCAGTTGCAGGTGGCACAGCCCACTCATGCGCAAGTACAAAGCATAATTACGGCTCATTCGGGCCAGACCATCAATCTGGTTGGCTTACGTAATGTTCAAATAGCCGAGCAAAAGCCTAGCATAGGCTCACGCATTCGGTACTCACGCGGCAAGATTATTGGGCCCGGCGTGAGCAATCTGCAGATTGTGGAGACCCACGAAGCCATCCATCAACAACATGCAATGTCTGATGGCACCAAATATGAGATTAGCGAGATTGACTTGAACAATCCAAATGCTTCGGCGGCCATTATCAGTGACTTGGTAAAGTATGCCGAAATCGATGACATTGAGCTGCCGGATGGCACAAAAATTGGCATTGGATTTGCGCCTTCTGAGATAACGGAGCATATGCAAACATCGGGCGGGGAAACACACATAACCACCATTGAGCACGAGCCGCAAGAACTTCAAGAGGTACATGCCCATCAACATGAACAGCTTCCACAATCACACCACACCATCCACTCAACTCAGTTGCAGACCCATCACATGCATCAGGCCACCGTTGTGCAAGAGGAACAGCAATCAGAGCAGCAACATCATCAGCACACACAGCATCTTCATCTTCAAGAGCAGGACGATGGCGTCGAAACGATAATACCCGAAGACCTTGGCGTACACGAGTCGAGCAAGAGCTACACTATACTCACCACTCGCCCCATGAAGGAGGAATCGGATGGTGCTGGCGATCACACAGGAATGACTTACGAACTGTCGCTGAGTGACTCGTCCATGGGGCCTGGTGATGATCCCGAATCACGCTATGTGTGCAGGCATTGTGGTAAGAAATATCGCTGGAAATCGACGCTGCGTCGTCACGAAAATGTCGAATGCGGGGGCAAAGAGCCTTGCCATCCGTGCCCATATTGCACCTACAAGGCCAAGCAGCGTGGCAACTTAGGTGTCCATGTTCGCAAACATCATCCAGAGAAGCCGCAGCTGGAGAGCAAGCGCGGGCGCAAGGCTTAAAGAACCAATGACTCGGAAATATTAACGTGAGTGTATAGAGAAAGGACCCTAAATAGGAAGAACAACAAACACATACATATATTTTAAGCAAGACTTTTTCAATTTGACCAGTTATATTATTTCGCTTTTTTCCCCAAAGTTGATTGTAATGGGCTATAGTGTACAGTTTTTGTACCACATTTTACATTATACTATATTTTATACTGTACTGCACAGTATTGTTGCGAAGAAAGTGCAACACATTACGAGCCGAAGATTTCATGGCAACCTTTTTATTTGTTGATTAATTTGTTAAGCTTAATATTCTTTTGTTTGTAACTCTTCTGCCTAATAATATTATATAGTTCTTTTATATTTCATCATTTAAAATTAAGTTCTCGTCAAATCGATTTTGTTCTTTATCTTTGTTTCATTCATTTAGAGCTTTAACTTATGTCTTCACATGACCGTAATTGCGTTACGGTATTTTGAAATTACAAAATAAGTGTTGGAAACAAGTGAAATAGTGAAAAAAAAAAGATGTGCAAGTATTTTCATGGAAATAACACAAAAAATTATGCAAATAGGTTTATCCAAATTGTTTTTTCATACATTGTACGTACAGAAATATCTTATATTTACGTGGTGTCTCTTAATTACTAGAACTAGCATAAGTTGAAAGTTTTCGCAACAAACAAACAAACAACAAATACAATATTAGTGAAACTGAAATGCTATATGGTATAGCATGCGAAGAATGTTCACATATTAGTTTTTTATAATTAAATGAACTATATATTGAAAAGCAAATGATGTCTGATTGGAGGCTTTATATTACTATATATTTACTATATATATGTAAAAGTTGTTTTTGCAAATTATGAAATTAGAAATATTTAAATGTTGTAAAGAAACACATTTTTATGAAGAAATCACAATATCCCCAAATATGTTGACATTTTCCACCATGTGCGGACTTGGAGAAGAGCCGCCACCCTCAACGACCTGTGTAACATAAAACGGGAAAATAATTGAAGTAAAATTTTTAAATATAATACTTTAGTAAAATTGTTTGTATAAACGAAAGATTTTATTGTAAATCACAACATGCAAGTTTTTTCAATTATTTTCAAGCAACATCGCACTTCAAAAAATAAAAATAATTATGCAATAAACTAATTCGATAAAAAACAATATATACACATATACATATATTTAACATTTATGTAATTTTAAATCAATACAATAACTTTATATAAATACAAATAATATATTTTCGAAATAGCTGTAAAATAAAGAGTGAAAAATAAAACTGAAATGTTTTTATAATTGGGCAAGACTGGGCTGGTAGTACAACTGTGTCGAACCAC